CGCTGAGCACCGGGGTGATCTTGTGGCTGGTGTGAGTGCGTCGCACGCGGCAGAGCTGGCACACCAGCCGCTGGCAGGTCTTGCAGTAGTGAGTCACCTCCTCCTTGTGCTCCGGGCACATCAGCCCCTGCACGGGCACAGGGGAGCTCAGCACCTGCCCCCCGAACCAGGGTCCCGCCCCCCAGCACCCACAAAACCCCGAGCAGGGCAGGAAGACCCTGACGAGGAGGCCGTACCTTGGGGCGGAAGGTGAGGGTGGGGGGCGTGGGCTCGTGCTGGGCTTTCTGGGTGCCCCAGGGGTGGTAGAGCTTGAAGCACTCATTGCAGAAGCTGGACTTGCACTCGGTGCAGCCCTTGGTGGCCTCCAGCTGTGGGGGCTTGCAGAACTGGCACATGATGGCAGCGCTGATATTGATGGTCTGGCGGTAGCGTTCCACCACCCGCTCCAGCGTCAGGTTGCGGAAGAGGCTGCCCAGGCCCCGCTCACCCAGGTCCACGTCCCGCTGGCAGGCCGGGCAGGGGAAGCTGACGGTCTGGGGGTGCACAGTGCCCCGCTTGCGCCCCGGGTAGGTGCCAAAGCCTGTGGGAGGGAGGCGGGGAGGGCATCAGGCGGGGGGGCACGGTGCCCCAGAGCCCCCTCAGATCTCTGCGGGGGGAGCCGGTGGGTCCCATCCCCGTCCCCTCTGGCCATCCTACCTGACTTCAGGAGGCGGTCGAGGCGGTCGGGCTTGGGGACGGCCCGGCGTCCCAGACGGGGGCTGCGGGTGGCAGGGGTGGCGGCAGGCGAGGAGGGCTCGGAGGTGGGGTCGCAGCAGAGGTAGCCGTGCTGCAGCAGCACCTCGCTGGCGCAGACGTGGCAGACGTTGTGCGTGCAGGGCAGGGCCAGAGGCTGCTTGTACATCTCCTTGCACACCGGGCAGACCAGCTCCCGCTCCATGTTCTTCATGCTGGTCTGGGGGAGAGAAGGGGGAGCGTCACCCGCCATGGGCAGGACCGGGCCCACGATGGGGACTGGGGCCGGGCTCAGGGCTGGGACTAGAACCAGGACCAGGGCCAGCAGTGGGACCAGCACCAAGATGGGGACCAGGGCTGTGACTGGGTTGGGGATTGGGGTTGGGACCAGCACCAGGGCCAGGATCAGGCTTGGGAGCAGCAGCATGGTCAGGATGAAGACCAGCACTGGGACCAGAACCAGGATGGGGACCAGAGCTGTGACTGGGATGGGGATTGGGGCTGGGGCCAGCACTAGGGCCAGGATCAGGACCAGCAAACAGCACTGGGACCAGAACCAGGACCAGCACTAAGCCTGTGATCGGGCCTGGGACCAGCACCAGGCCCAGGATCAGGCCTGGGAGCAGCACCAGGGCCAGGATCAGGACTAGCAGTGGGACCAGCACAAAGATGGGAACCAGGGCTGTGACTGGGTTGGGGATTGGGGTTGGGACCAGCACCAGGGCCAGGATCAGGCTTGGGAGCAGCAGCATGGTCAGGATGAAGACCAGCACTGGGACCAGAACCAGGATGGGGACCAGACCTGTGACTGGGATGGGGATTGGGGCTGGGGCCAGCACTAGGGCCAGGATCAGGACTAGCAAACAGCACTGGGACCAGAACCAGGACCAGCACTAAGCCTGTGATCGGGCCTGGGACCAGCACCAGGCCCAGGATCAGGCCTGGGAGCAGCACCAGGGCCAGGATCAGGACTAGCAGTGGGACCAGCACCAAGATGGGGACCAGGGCTGTGACTGGGTTGGGGATTGGGGTTGGGACCAGCACCAGGGCCAGGATCAGGCTTGGGAGCAGCAGCATGGTCAGGATGAGGACCAGCACTGGGATGGGATGCAGATTAGGGCTGGGGCAGGCACTAGGGCCAGGAGCAAGATGGGCAGCAGGATCGGGATCAGGATGGGGACCGGGCCACCCGCCCGCGGGCGTGCAGGCGGCTCCCGGTGCTCCCGGCCGTGGCGGCGGCACCGTGCAACGGGGGGGGGGGGGGGGGGCCCGGTGCCGGCCCTCCGCGGAGATCGCTGCCTGGCGGGTCGGGGCGCGGGGCCGAGGCCTGCCCAGCCCTCAAGGGCACCCTCGTCATCCCGCCCGCCCGCCCCCGCCATCGGGCCCCGCCGCGTTGCCATGGCAACGCCGGGCCCGGGGGGAGCGCCCGCCTCGGCCCCGCCGCCCCGCCGTGCCCCCCCCCCCCCCCCTCCCCTCCCGCCGCCGCTCACGCTGATGCGGACGAGCGCGTCCATGATGGAGGTGAAGGTCTGCAGATCCTCGCCTTCAGCCATGGCTCCGCGCCCGCTCCCGGCGCCGGTCCCCGCGGCGGCAGCAGCGGCGGCCACGGACGCCCCGGTCTGTTGCAGGGAGCGGCGGAGCCGGGGGAAGGGCGGGGGGGGGCGGCGGCGCGCATGCTCAGCGGGACCCTCCGCGCCGGCGGCGGCGGCGTGGGGGCGGCGAGGGGCGGGGGCGGCGCGGCACCGGGGGGCTCCTGCCGCATCCCCGGGCAACCCCCGCCGGGCCCGTGCGGACGGCAGCGTGGCTCGGGGAGCGGCACCCGGGGTGGACCGCGGGGCGGGCTGAGCGGGGCGCCGGTACCGGGGCTGCGGGGGGGGGGAGTGGGGGTGTGTGTTGGGGGGCGGGGGGGGGGTTCCCCTCGTGTCCCCGCCCCCGGGGCCGCCCGCCGCGCCGCTCCCCGCCGCCAGGGGGCGCGCGAGGCGGCGGGGCCCTGCAGCGCCGCGCCTGGCCGCCAGGGGGCGCTCAAACCCCTCTCTGCCCTCCCTAAGGGGGGCGCGTGCGCATGAGCGATTCTTTCCTCCCCCCCCCCTCCTTTCCCGGCGAGGCCGCAGTGCGCCTGCGCAGACCGGCGGCACCGGGAAACACCGGGGACGGGGGCGACGCCGCGGGGCACCATGGGTAACGGGGGAACGGCGACCCGGGGAGGGGAGGGGGGGTTTTGGGGAGGGGCGGGAGGTTGCTGCGGGGTGTTCCCGGGCCCGGCTTTGGCCCCGCGGTGCCGGTCGCTGCGGCGGCCCCGGTCCCGTTCCCGGTGTCCTCGCTGAGGCGGCCCCGCGGGCCCAGCCGTAGGCACGGGCACGTCCCTCGCGCTTTCCTCGCTGCTCTCGCTGCTGCTCTTCGCCGGGATGCAGATGTACAGCCGGCAGCTGGCCTCCACCGAGTGGTTGACCATCCAGGGCGGGCTGCTGGGCTCCGCGCTCTTCGTCTGCTCCCTCACCGTATCCTTCGGGGCACCGGGGAGCGGGGCCGGGGGTGCAGCGCTCCCGTTACGTCCCTTAACCTTTCGGCCAGGCCTTCAACAACCTGGAGAACCTCGTCTTCGGGAAGGGCTTCCAGGCCAAGATATTCCCCGAGAGTAAGTGCCACAGCGGGGGCGTGGGCGAGGAGGAGGGGGAGCATGCCGTGGTCCGAAGGTGCCCAATGTGCCGGCCCACGGCACAGCTGGGTTTGTGGGGGGCCTGCAGCGTGGCCCTGCCCCGCGGGTGTCCCACCCGTGGCACCGGAGGGTCACGGCTCTGCCCTGGAGGAAAAGAAAAGCCCACCACGGTAGCTCGTGCTGAGCTTTTGCCATAGTGTGGGTAGGTTGGTTCTGCTGCATCAGTGCAGCCGTGCTCTGAGGCGGATATGTTTGGGTGGCGTGGCTGCATCTTTTATATCTCCTGATTTTTCCCCTGCAGTCCTCACCTGCCTCTTACTGGCGCTCTTTGCCTCGGGCCTCATACACCGAGTCTGCGTGACCACCTGGTAAGTCCAGAGCTTGCCCTCAGGGGATGGGGAGCAGCCACCGTGCTGCTGTGGCCGCTGCCAGGGACCCTGATGGCTCGTGCTTGCCATTGGGAGGGGAACGGGCCACCATGCAGGGCTGAGGCTGTCCAGGGACCCCCAGGACAGCCAGTGTTGGGCACCACAGTGCAGTGGGATGGAAGGGGACGGTGTTGGTTCTACCCTGACGCGTTCCTGCCTCCCAGCAGCTGAGCAGCCTCTTCTCTTCTTTCATCACAGCCTCATCTTCTCGATGGTCGGCCTCTACTACATCAACAAGATCTCCTCCACCCTCTACCAGTCCACAGCGCCTGTCGCTGCTCCTGCCAAGGCTGTTGGCAAAGGCAGGAAGAGGAATTGATGTCCTGCCACCCCTTCCCCGGGGCAGCCCCCTCCCCTCCAGGACAGACCAGGGCTCTCAGCCACCCAATAAAGCCATTTCTTTGTAGCGTCTTGTCCACAGCTGCTGTGGGTTTGGTTCCTCCCCCGCCTCTCAGCCCCGTTTCCTCGCACCGCTGTGTGCTGGTGGGGCTGACAGTGGGCCTGCTTGGCCATCCAGGCTGCACTGGAGCCTGAGGAGGGGATTTCTCCACCTTGGTGCTGCCGGAACAGGGGCTCAGTGTGCGGCCAGGGCAGGGAGGCAGCCGCTGACCCCCCCACCGCCACCTAGCAGGGAAAATATGCTGACGGCGTCTCATCTGCCTGGACCTGCAAGAGAGGAAAATCCCAGTGGAGCTGGGCGGGTTGGAGCAGGCTCTGGTGCTGCTGGGGCTTGGCCCGGCCGGAGGAGGGGAGGGAGGCAGTGGGGGTCCCGGAGCGGAGGGGGACAGGTAACCGCCGCGGGGTGAGTTCTGTCCCCAGCGGCCACCCAGCCCCTGGTGCAGCCAGGGCTGCCGGCACCGGGCAGGGGAACAAAGGTGGGTCCGTGCCCCCGCCGACACGGGGGCAGGGGGGTGGCACCAGGGCGCGGGGGGGGGGTGCCGTGAGAAGGGCCCAGGCCCCGCAGGCCGTGGGAGGGCTGGCGGGGGCCGCTCCCACGCCAGTGCCCCGCCACCCGCCGCGGCCGGACACGGAGGAAACCAGATGTTTCCTGCAGCCCCGGTCCCGGCCGGAGCCCGGCGCCATCACCGGCACCGGCACCAGCCGCAGGGGGGCGCCTCGCCGCCTCGTGCTGCGCATGCGTCGGGTGACGTGGCGCTGCTCCGTTACTACAGCTCCCAGCGGCCCCCGCGCTGCGGCGCGCTTGCGTGACGTCCTCCTCGCGACGGGGAGGGGAGGGGGAAGAGCGGGCGCTGGGCCGCGGGCCCGATCCAGGTGAAGGCGGGGGGGCGGTACCGGCGGTTCGGGGGGATCGGTGCGGGGGAGTCGGTGCAGAGCGGGATCGATGTCGGGGGGGATCGGTGTCAGGGGGGGTCGGTGCGGAGCGGGATCGGTGAGGAGGGATCGGTGCGGGGGGGATCGGTGTGGGATCACTGCGGGGGGGTTTGTGCGTGGCGATCGGTGCGGGGGGGATCGGTGTGGGATCACTGCGGGGGGGTTTGTGCGTGGCGATCGGTGTGGGATCACTGCGGGGGGGTTTGTGCGTGGCGATCGGTGCGGGGGGGGGGATCGGTGTGGGATCACTGCGGGGGGGTTTGTGCGTGGCGATCGGTGCGGGGGGGGGGGATCGGTGTGGGATCACTGCGGGGGGGTTTGTGCGTGGCGATCGGTGCGGGGGGGATCGGTGTGGGATCACTGCGGGGGGGGTTTGTGCGTGGCGATCGGTGCGGGGGGGGGGATCGGTGTGGGATCACTGCGGGGGGGTTTGTGCGTGGCGATCGGTGCGGGGGGGGGGATCGGTGTGGGATCACTGCGGGGGGTTTGTGCGTGGCGATCGGTGCGGGGGGGATTGGTACAGGGGGATCAGTGCGAGGGGATCGCTGCGGGGGGGAGGGGGGGGTGTTGTGCGTGGCGATCGGCGCTTGGGGATTTCTGCGGGGGGATCGCTGCGGCTCTCACGGCCCCTCTCTCCACAGCTGCCATGACCAAGCTGGGGCAGTGGCTCTGCGCGCTTGCCCTGCTGGGCTCGGCCTGGGCTGCGCTGGCGCTGGCGCCACCGGGGCTGCGGCTGCCGGCCCCGTACCGGCAGGCCCTGCTGCCTCTGCCCGTCTACCTGCTCGTCGCCTTCGGCTGCTACTCCCTGGCCACCGTGGGCTACCGCCTGGCCACCTTCAACGACTGTGAGGAGGCGGCTGCCGAGCTGCAGGAGCACATCAGCGCGGCGCGGGCTGACCTGCGCCGACGTGGGCTGCGCTTCTGACCCCAATAAAGTTGAGGGACAGCGGCTGCCTGTGGTGTATGGTGCTCCCGGGGGGGCCGGGGCACAGTGGGGAGCGGGGGGCCTCCAGCTGCAGCTCCCCAGCGCAGTGCTGCCTGGGCTGGCGGCCGCTGAGGACCCCGCCAATGCCGGTGGGAAATCACTCATCCCTCCCCAGCATGAGGCTGGTGTTCGGGGAGCTCCGTGCACAGGATGGGGTCTCCGCAGAGGCTCGGGTCCCCGCTCAGCACTTCCACCGCCCTGCAAGGAGCCTGCCCCATCCCAGCCTGGCCTCTCCCTCCCCGAGCTGTTTGGTTCTGGAGGCAGGGATGCAAGGTGGCGAGGGCAGGATGAGGCCCTGCCCCGAAGGCCTGCGGCACTGGGTAGCGCGGCGGGCAGAGCGCATTCCCGGCTGCCCTTCAGATGTGGTTCATGCCGTCAGGTGGGAGCGGGAGAAGACTCATCCCGGTCCCGCTGGGCGGTTTCCAGGGGAAGGAGGAGAAAGGCTGGCTGGGTGGAGCAGGCGGCACAGCCTTTAAAATGCAGAGTGCCCAGAGCCTGTGGTCTCCCTCTGCCTGCCAGGGCGGCTCAGCCCACGCCGGGGGGCTGCTCCCTGCTCCTGCCGGTGCAGCGGCTGCCACTGCTCTGCTCCCACTTTCACAGGCAGCACCGGAGCACCGTGGGCTTCTCTGGGCCGCGGGCCAAGCACCCTGCGGCAGGGGCATCCCTGCTGAGTGTGGGGGGTGCTGGCCGGCCCCTGTCCAGCGGTGCCCCTTCGTCCAGGGGGGGCCGAGACCCCATGCTGCTGGCCCAGCTGGAAGAGCTGTGCGGCTTCTGGTGACGCATGCTGGGGCCTGCCTTCCTGGCAGCCTCCCCGGCTTCTTCGCATACCAGCCAAAGGACTTTCTTGTTTTTAATTATCGGCTGTGCATCCTTCTGCAAAAAGGAGCAGTTGGTATCATGAGGGAGGACTCGGGCTAATTAGCAGGAGCAACTAATTAGCTGTTTCCTGAGCAACAATGGCAGCTCAGACCAGGGTGGGCAGCTCCCGCGGTCTCGCCTGTTGCGTGGCTGTTTGTGGGGTGGCACCACCCCAGATACAGCAAAGCGGTGCCTTTCTGGGGCAGGGACCGCAGCCTTGGTGCAGGGTAAGGACAGCAGCTCTCCATGGGCTACCCACAGCCCTCCGTAGGCTACTCGTGGCCATCCAGGAGCTACTCACAGCCCTCTGGCAGCTCAGCCTGGTGGCAGCTTCTCCCTGCACAGACACATGCCTGCTACGGCCACTTGCGTCCCCAGGAGATGCTCCACTTGCCTCCAGCCTCGTGCGTGGGGCCACATCGTGGCTGCTCCCACCAGCCGCTCACGGCACCCGCTGGCCGGAGCGACGAGGCAGCAGCCAAGCTTCTGCCTTGTGCATCAGCGGGGAAAGCTGCCCTTTCCCACAGCGGTCAGTCCTTCCACAGCGCCTTCGCCCAGGTTGGGAGCTGCACCCCGGGTCTTGGGAGGGGCTGGGAGGGAGCAGGGGCTCCTCCCCACTGGGAAATGGGGTTTCTGTGGCGGGGGGAGCCAGCGTAGCCCTGGGGCGAGTCCCTGGGGCAGTGACACCTGCAAGCACAGCCAGTGCGGGCAAGGGGAGCTCTGGCTCCACGGGCCACGGCAGCAAGATGGAGCATGCTGAGCGAGCCTGGCAGCGGCGCCGGCTGGGGCTGTGCACCACAGCGCAGCAGGAGCTCGTCTTCCCCTCCAGCCACCATTCTTGTCTCAGCCCCATTCCTGCCGCTTGCCTCCGTATTGATTTTTTTTCCCAGGCCACGTCGCAAGGTGTAAACGAGTGTCTGAGCCATAGCACGAGCTCTGCCAAAGTCCTCGTCACTGCTTCCTTAATCCGGCCTGCGTCATCCAGGCTGGAGGACCTGCCCATGCCTACGGAGCTGCGGGAAGGGGCTCCTTTCCCTGGGACGGGGTGGGGGGGTCTCCTGCCCCTTTCACAAGGTTCCATTGGCTGTTGCATAATTTGGTCACCCAAACACACTCCTGCCCCTCTGCTGATGCACTTGCCTGATAACTTCATTCCAGATCATTGTTAATTTGTTAATCGAGTTTGGGTTGACGCCAACAGCTGCCTGATTTGTGCACACTCAATCATCATGGTTTTAGCGAGGGTTTTAATTGACTGTAAGTTTGCCAGCGCAATGGCCAGCAGCAAGCCCTGTGTCCAAGCTGCAGAACAGACTTTTCTTTCCCCATTGTGACCCGTGTCCCCGGGCTGCTGCTCGGAGGCAGGAGGGTCAGAGCAGCCTCCTCAGGCAGTGCTGCCTTCCTCAGTGCCCCAGCCCAGCCCTGTGCCTGTTCCCTTCCCGGGGTCAACACTGATGCTTCCTCGCTACTGGAAAGTGGGTGCTGCTGGAGGAGGGTTTGCCACAGTGCCAGGATGAGGCCCCCACCACCCTGGGGACAAAGCAGCTGTGGGGACAAGAGCCATCCCAGACTCCACAGCCAGCACACCAGGAGGGAGGGAACAACCACCAGGCGCTGGGAAGAGTCTCTGATTTATTAAAAGGCACTTAAATTCGTACAAAAGAGACGCAGGGCTTCCCAGAAGCCCCCAGCCTGGTCCTGGGGCAGAGCCATGGGCATGGAAGACTGTCCAGCGGTCCCTGGGGACATGTGGCATGTAGCACCCCTGGGTGAGGGGGCTCCCAGCACCCCAAAGGCATCGCTGAGACCAACCCAACCATCATCACTGAAGGACCAAGGGCTGGAGGGATGCCAGAGAGGGAGAACCATGGTGGTAGAGGCAGGAGGTGCCCTCCTGGGGCCCCGTTCCTGCCAGGAGCTGGCGGCCCTTGGCCGAGGGGGACAGCAGCACCACGGTGGCACTTGGGGCTCGGTGGCTGGGGCCAGTCCACACTGGAGCAGACTGGCAGGGGTTGGGGGCGGGATCCTTCACTGGTCCACCAGCATCTGAGGTCCTTCCTCGGGGGGCCAGTGGGGCCCCCCTCAGACATACAGGGGTCTGTAGGGCTTGTCCTGGCCCGGCGGATACTTCCAGAAGAGCCAGAACCGCACAACGCTGGTGATGATCCCCGGCACATTCGGGACCTGCGGGAGGACAGGGTGGGATGGGGGGGGAGGGAGTGGATCTACCCAGCTCATGGTGCTGCTGCCCTCCCCCCACCACCGCTCCACCAGCCCTGCGTTGCCGGTGGAGATTTATTGGCCTTATACCATCTAATTAATTAAAATCAATACTCATCTCACTGAGCCTAGTCACGGGCCCTGCTGTGTGACACACATGACGCCGGACGGGGGTCGGCCTGCTGCCAAGCTGAACGCCACGGCAGGGACACGGGATGGGATGGGATGGGATGAGATGGGATGGGATGGGATGGGATGGGATGGGATGGGATGGGATGGGATGGGATGGGACAAGACAGCATCCCTTGGCCTCCCGCCACTCCAACCCACCATGATGTAGGGGTCGTGGAGCTGCAGGCCGTAGAGCGTCCAGCTGGTGGAGGCCAGGAAAGTGGTGATGGTCAGGGGGAAGGACAAGCAGCGCGTCGACTTGCTCTGGACAATCTTGGCCTGCAGAACCAAATGTCAGGCTGGTCCTGGTCTGGGCAGCCCCAGTGTCGCCACGGCCCCCCGCCCGCAGCTGCTGCCCAGCCCCACACACCAGATCAGCCAGTGGCGAGAGGTACATGCTGATGGTGAAGACACTACAGAAGAGCCCCAGGCGTGCCAGGCGCGTCCGCGTGTCGGCAATCAGGAGGGTGAAGTAGCCATAGCCGGCGGCCAGCACAGCCAGGAGCAGCAGGCTCCGCAGCAGCACTGGGCGCTGGGATGGAGAGGAGGGGGACAGTCAGGGCGAGGGTCCCACTGTCCCCCCCATCGACCCCGACAGGCCGAACCCCACCTTCACAGGGCTGTAGTAGAGGTACGCCAGGATGTAGAGGGTCTGCAGTGCCGCCCCGATGGTGTTGACGGCGATCAGCGTCCAGTCCTGCTTCAGGCAGCCGTAGCCCAACCAGCTCAGGTTGCTGCACCGCAAACAGCACACGTGCTCGCCGCTGCAGCCTGGGGTCTTCTGCCCTTCCCCACTACCTTGTAACCCCCCCGCTCCCTTGCATGCGACCCCTCCCAGGGCTCAACCCCACTGTACTTGACATCGGTGGTGAGGAAGGGCAGGAACTGGATGTTCTCCACACTCTTGGTTGCCAACATCTGGCGCAGGTCGGACCTAGGGAGAGTGGAGGGGAGCAGCCTCCTGGGTGCCTGGCACCACGGGGAGGGGCAGAGCTGGGAGGACTGCAATCTTTGCAGCCGGCAGGCACCCCCTCCCCAAAATGTGCACCCTGAAATAATCCCAGCCCCCCCCTCCCTGTGCTTGTGACCACCCCACCTCCAGCCCCTGACGCTAACACCCCCCCCACCCCCACCCCCACCCCAATTCCCTGGTGTCCTTTGCCTTCAGTTTTGTCACACACACACACCCCCAACCCCAGCCCCACCAAACCCTCCCCAGTGCCTGCTACACTGCACCCCTCAACTCCCCTCCCATTGCACCCCCTCAATTGGACCCAGCACCGTCCCCATTCCCTCTGCACCAGCCCCCAATGGACGCCATTGCACACCCCCACTAAAACCGGCCCTGGGGCCCTCCCCATTGCACACACCCCCCCCCCTCAAACTGGCCCTGTGGCTCTCTCTCCCCATTGCACCCCCAACTAACCCCGGATGGCCCCCACTGCACCCCCTGAACTGCCCCGGTGTCCTACCCATCGCACCCCCCAAACCCCACTCCACCACGGCCCGTGGTCCCCGTTACAGCCCTCCCCTTCCCGCCCCCCCCCCCCCACGCCCCGCCGGTGGCGCGCAGGGCCCGGAGCCTCCCGGGCGCTCACAGCCCGGTCCCGAACATGGCAAGGGTGAAGGCCAGGCAGGCGGCGGCGAGCAGCGGGGCCATGCCGGGCCGCGGCACCGGGCACCGGCGGGGAGCGGGGGCGGTGCTGCCCGCGGCGGGGCGGGGCGGGACGCACTACCGGGGAGGGACGGGCCGCGACACCGGGGGGGGGGGGGGGCGGGCACCGAGCAGGCAGCCAGCAGCGTGCGCCGTCTCATCGGCACCGAGCAGCCCCGACACCACCGCGATGGGCAGGGTCCGGCCCCCTGGGGGCTCAGCCGGTAGCACCCCACGGGGGGGGGGGGGGGGGGGGGGGGCAGAATGGAGGGACCCCACCCTCGTTGTCCCATGTCCCCAGTGCGAGGAGCCCACCTCCCCAAGACGCTGGAGCCCTGGGGTCCCACATCCCCGTGCACCCAAATTCGGGGGGCCTCGTGTCCCTGTGACCCCACCTCCCCAGGATCCAGCATCCCCGGGGTCCCCCCACCCTTCAGATCCCATATGCCTGGGAGGTAGGGTCACGCAGCCCTGGGGCACCAAATTCCAGGGACCTGTTGTCTCTGTAACCCCAACTCCCCAGGACTCTGCATCCCCAGGGGGTCACATATCTCCATGATCCCCGTTCCCCAAGATCCCACCTCCCCAGGACCCTGCATCCCCCAGCATCTCACACCTCCAGGGTCTCCCATCTCCCTGAACAAGATCCTGAGAACCCCTATTCTCATGGCCACACAGCATCTGGGACCCACCACAGCACAGGGGGTCCTGGAACCCTGCCAGACTGTGTCCCCTGCCCAGCCCTGGGGACTCTGGCCACACCTCAGCCCCCCCCCCCCCACACACCTTGTCACCAGCAGGGTGCCCCAGGCCTTGAAGATCATCACAGTGCCTGGGGGATGGGTAAAAAACCACCCCCTCCAGCCCCTAGAAGGGCTTTGTGTCACAGATAAAAAGAGCTGATAGTGCCAGCACTGCTGTGGCACTTTTCCACTTCAAAGCCCTGTGCAAACACTGGCCAATTAATTAATTAACCAGCACAAATACCCCGTATGGGCCATTCCTCTTTCCAAGGCCAGGCATGGCCAGGAGAGCCAGGTCCATGGCGTGGGGGGACAGGCCCCTCACCTCCCCAGCTCCAGGTGCTCAGTGTGATCTTGGTTATTTATTCAAGACAATCGTATAAAAACTCCCATGATAGAAAGCTGTACAAATCAGGGCAGGCAAAGCACCCCATACAGGGTGCTGCCAGAGGGGTGCCCCTCCAGCACCCGGCAGAGGGGAAGGGAAGGGGGAGGTCCAGGGTGGTGGGGGCAGCTCTCACTGCCCCCGTGTGTGATGGGATGAAGGATGGGGAAGGGGTGCAGCACGGTGGGGAGGGGGGGATTTTTCCTAGAGCTCTGCCACGCTGGCTCTCAGGCAGCTCAAGGATGTCCAGAATCCCGGATCCGGTGACGCTGAGGGGCCACAGCCCCAGAGCACTGCCCCAGCCAGCACCGGTGGCACCCCGCTGGCCCCAGGGCCAGCACCGCATCCCCAACTGCGGGACATGTCACAATCTGAGCCCACAGCAAAAAGAGACCCGAGGGCCATCCATGAGCAAGCTCAGCTCCAGGGGCAGGGGTGCCAGCCCCCTGCTCCCCTCCAGTCTGGGGCACACGCAGCCCCTCCAGTCCAGGCTCATGCTCAGCCTCCACCTGCTGAGACCATCCTGTGTGTGAGGGCCGGGGGAGCTGGGGCAGCCTGAGGGCTTTGGCTGCTCTGCTTGGCTTCGGGCCCCCCGGCCCTGTAATACTGACAAATCCTTTCCTCGCCCAGATGTGCGCAGGGCAGGCCACCCCAGGGTGCATGAGGACCACAGGGGTCCTGAGCATCCCAGCTCCATCCCCAGTGGCCACAGCCTTGGTCTGTCCGGGCACAGCGGGGCAGCTCACAGCCCCTGTGGCACCAGGAGGGGCAGGAGGAGGCTGATTAAAGTGAAGGGGCTGCTGCCCCGCATCGCCGAGTTCTGCCCCACACTCCTCAGCACGTGTGCAGCTGCATCATCTGTGGGGAGAGAAGCTGTGAGCACCCAAGGGACAGGACATGCCCCAAGCCAGCAGCACATCACCCCGGGCAGGGGCTGCTGCCAGCCCTGCCCCCCCAGTCCGTGTGTGTCCCCCCCCACCCCCCTCCAGAGAACGGTGGGGCTCAGCCTGGCTCTCCTGCCAGCCCCATGGCTGCCTGGACTCGTCTGCCTTCCTGCAGCCACCAACCTACCTGCCTGGATCCTCCCGTTCTGCGTAGAGGCAGGGACAGGCGGTGCCTGAGCTGCAACAAAGAGGGTCAGGCTGGTGAGGGGCAGCTCCCCGAACCCCCCCCACAGCCAGGTTTTACTGGGTGCCGTTCTCCCGCAGCTGCCAGCACCTTCCTGGCCGAGCTGCGTGTGCCCACACCCCGGGGCTGGCAGGGGGCCATGGCCTGGCTGTGACTCAGCTCAGGAAAGGCCAAGCTGGGCACCAACACTGTGAGCAGGAAAGGGGGCACACAGATGGGATCTGGGGGGTCCAAGTGATACTCACTGCCTTTGCCAGCAACCATCACCTTCAGCTTCAGGCACGCTTCCCCGTGGTGGTGAATGGGTTTGGCTGCAAGGGAGGATATAAGTTAGGCAGAGGGAAGCCCAGCAGGGACCCCAGCCCCACAGCAGACCCCCAGGCACTCACAGATGTAGTAATAGCTGTGCCCCTCCTTAAACTCCTTGCCCAGCGTGAACGGGGTGAAGCGCTGGAACTTCTCTGAGAACTTCTCAGGGCCATGCAGGGCACTGGGCTTGTTGCACTCCCAGCGGATCTGCTCCTTGGAGCGGGGCTTGCAGGCCCGGTACTCCTCGGGCTCCACCAGGTAGAGCGTGTAGCGCTCCATGGCACGGGGGTCCACGCTCCCCTCCTCGTAGTGTGGGCAGATGATGTCCAGGTAGTCGTTGAGGCGCACCTCCACTGTGTAGTTGCTCCTCAGGAACCTGCAGCAAGAGGGAGGAAGGGGTCAGCTCCAGCAGGGAGAGGCATGAACCTTCCCCTGCACCCCCAGATTCTCCACGCTGATCAACAAGGCCAAGGGAGAACAGCCTCCTGACCACAGCAGCTCCTCAGAGCCCAAGACAGGGGAACCTTTGGTCTACCCTTCCCTGTGCAGAATCTCACAGTTCCCAAGGCTGGCTTTCGGAGGAAAAGCCCCACCCCGGACTGGCCCCCCACACACAGGCAAGCACACCCCCCTTCCCAGCGCTCCCCAGCAGCCGGGGAGCAGGGAGGGAACCCACTGGGACTCACACCCTGCCCGTCCCAATGCTCCCAGAGCCAGGAGGCGTCGGCAGCTCTCACCCGTGGGGCAGCCAGCCCAGCTCCAGTGCCTGCTGCTCCCCACACCTCACCCAGTGGGGAGGAGGGGGACAGACTGGCAGCAGGTTGGGGGCCTCTACGGGGACCCCTCACCTCGCTGGCTGCTGCCGCCTCGGGAAAGCAGAGCCACCCATCGGGGCCAGCCCCTGCTCCCAAAGCCCTGCCGCCCCTGCTTACCCTGGGGGTGGGGGGGCAGGGCAGACAACACACAGCCCTACAACCGGGGGGAGGTGGGGTGGGGTAGTCCTACAGTTGAGCAGGACACAACTCAGAGATAGGACACCCCTACAGCTGAGGGGTCATGGCTCAGGGGAGTCACTCCTACACCTAAGGGGGGCTGGTGCCTTGAGGGGCACCCCTACAATCGCAGGGTCACGTCCTGGGGGGGGAAACCCCTTTAGCTGGGGGGTTCGAGGCACGGATCCCGGTCACTTCCCCCCCCCACACACACACACACATCCTGCCCGGGCGGCGGGAGTCGCGGCCAGCCCCGTGTTTGTCAACACGCTTCCCTGTGCCCCGGCGCCGGGGCTGGCGCCGCGCCACCCCCGCGGGGAAGGAAGAGGCCCCGTTCCCGCTCGGCCTTGGGAACGGAAGGGCCCCCCCCGGTTTCCCACCGCCCCCCCCCCCAGGTCTGCACCTGGGCTGACCGTGCCGCTCCCCGGCTGCGCGCAGGGTTCGCCCCACTGGGCTCAGCACCGGCCCCGCCGGGGTTAAACACCGACCCCGCCGCCCCCCAGCACCGGGCTCGACCCTCCTCACCCCACGCTCCCCCCGCGCCTCCCCACCCCACAACCCCACAAAGGCCCCATCCCGGACAAAGGCCGCCGGGGAGCGCCCGGCCCCGTCCGCGCCCTCGGGGCCGCCAGGTCCCGGTGGCGGAGAGGGGGAGGGGGGAGGCTAGTGTGTATGGGGGTGGTCTCCCGGTACTCACCGGAGGTTGGAGCTGTTCCAGAAGACGGTGTGGCGCTCAGCAGCCGCGGCCGCCGCCGCCCAGCACAAGCCCAGCCCCAGCAGGGCCAGGGGCACCCACCGCCGCTCCATGCGCTCCGCGGGGCGCGCTCCGCCGGGCGGGCACCGCGCCCGGGCCCCCGCCTTAAGTACGGCCCCGCCGCCGCCCCGCCCGGGCCGCGCCCCGCCCCGCGCACCGGGGCCGAGACACAACAACAACACGGCCAACGCGGCGGGGAGGGGGGGCGAGGCCCCACCCCCGGCAGCGGGGGTGATGCGGGGTCCCGGGGTGGGGGGGCGCGGGTCCTGCTCGGCGGTACCACCACGCGTGGGCTTTACGTGTGCAAGTGAGGCGGGGGGGGGGGGGGGGGGGGGGGTCAACCCCTCCTGAGGCACCGGCGTGATGGGGTGCGGCCGGGCTGCTCCCCGCGGGAGGTGGGGGGTGAACGCCGGGGGCTCCGGGCGAAGCCTCCGAGCCGTGCCCGTCCCCTCCTCGCCGGGGGACGATGGCCAGCGGTGGGGTGCGACTGAGGGCGGGGACCCTGCGGGTCTGTCCTCCTCCCAGCCGTCGCCATGGGAACCCCCTTATCTGAGATGGCGGGACACACATGCACACACACACACACACACACACACACACATCAGGAGCCCTTGGGCAAGTGGGGCCTGGGGAGCTGCAGCCACTGCCAAGAAGATTCTGGGAACCTGGAAGGGCTGGGGGTGGCAGGGGCAACATCCTTCCTCGCCCCCCCGCCCGGCCCCTGCTTCATGCCCTGCCCTTATCAACTGCCTCTGCATTCCCAGGGCTTTGCTCCAGCACTGGGCAAACCCCACAGGTGTCCCCCCACCCTGCTCCCCCCACTCTCTGTTTGCTCAATATTGTGAAATTCGCCCCCCCTTCCCCGTGACTCCCTGGCGCAGGGCAGGGGGCTGCGGGTGCAGCAGGCACGTTGCCAGCTGCCTGGCGGGGAGCGCGGCGGCTCGCTATCTGCTCCCATCTGCCCCCAACACCGATCCATCCTTGTTAAGCCGGGCGGAGAGATGCTTCGCCGCTGTGTTGTGAAGTGATAACTCAGCTGCATTTGCAAAACAACTTTCCTCTTGTTTATTACATAATGATCCATTGATTGTGGGTAATGTTGCATGCCCGCCGCTGCAGCCGTGCGAGGAGCGCTCCCCTGGCACGCTGGAGGGGCTCGGGCAGGCGCCGGCACCGCGGCTGTAACCAGAGAGCGGCCGTCGGCTCCGGCAGCTGAGGGCTCCCACAGGGCGGAGGCTGTGGGGCTCGGTGCCCCACATCCCCCCCACATCCCCCATGTCCTCCCCGTGTCCCGGCCTCTCTCCCCACCCTCTGCTCCGGCAGGAGGGGGACCCGCTTCTTCCCTTTCATCCTCCCTTGTTGCGGCCAGGTCTGACATCATCCCCTGCGCTGTAATGACTGTGCAAGGCCTCCTGCTCCTGGGAAGCTGGTGCTGCCGTGGCTTGTACACGGGAGCACCTCCCGGGAACACCCCTGGGGCCACAGCCTGCTGGGATCGACGAGCCGGAGCGTGGCACGTGCAAGCCGCGGGGACGGGCGCAGTGGTGGGAGCGGGTCAGCACCAAAGCTGCTTCCCTCCCCGGGGTCCTCGCATTGCCCCGCTGCTGCCCCCACCATGGCAGAAACGGGCTGCACCTGGGCCGGGTGCCTGGAGAAACTGAGGCAGGGAGCAGCTATGGGGGGGGAATGGAGCAGCCTGAGGCTGTCCACCCCCGGGCAGGGCTGGTGCAAGCCCCAAGTGGGGTGTTGAACCTCCTGGAGCACTGCGCTGGATCCATCCTGTGGGACTGGGATGTGGTACCCAGCACTGTCAGCTGAGGGGCTCCTCCACCACGGTCCCCAGCCCTGGGGCAAGGCCACCAGCACATGGTGGCGGGGCTGGGAGTGAGGCCACGGGGACCTGGGCAGGTCCCAGTGTCATTGTCCTGCCTGGCCCAAGGCAAATGGGCAGTGCCAGCATTGCTGGCTGGACTGGGGGAGGAAGGACAAGCATGTGTCCCCTGCTGGGACCAGCCTGAGGGACAAGCCAGGGCTGGAGGGTGCCCCATTAACTCCCGGTGCTCAATCCCCCCGGGGCTTGATGGTGGGGGATGAGGTGATGGTCACACTGGGCAGGGTCCCGTGCAGGGTGTGCAGCCAGCAGTGGTGGCGTGTGTGCACGCAGGGCTGGGGACCGCCCCGGGTGACCGTGGGACGGGGTCGGTGCCCGTGTAGGCAGGGCTCCTGCCGCGCCAGCCGCTGCTTGCAGGACAAAGGTGAAGCTGTTTCGCGCCGTAAACACTCACGGCAGAGCGGCACGGGGCAGGTGGGGCCGGTCAGAGGCCGCAGAGCTTGTGACAAACTATTTATGGTTTCTCAGCTCGGGACACCCAGGTGAGCCCCAGCCCCTGCCTGGGCTGACATCACTGGCCGTGAAGCTGGGGGAGGAAGAGGAGCCATCCAGTCCGCGGCGGGGAGCAAAGGCCACGGTGACGTGCCGTGCCGGCTGCGTGCAGCCCGGCAGGTAGGCACAGCCTGACGCCAGGCCGCGCGTGGCAGGGGCAGAGCCATGTCCCCGAGGCTGGCTGGCCACGCCAGGCCCTTACACGTTTGGCCGGAGAGCGGGATGCACCCAGCCCTGCCCGGGGAGGACGGATGCTGCCACAGGGTGATGCAAAGCCTCGTGCCGCACTGCCGGTCCAGGCGTACACCCCGTGCCCAGAGCTGGACCTGCTGCTGGGGCTGTGGGACACCCCCCCCAGCACCTGGGGGGCACCTGAATCCCAGAACTGGGGTCCCAACAAGGGCTTCCCCCTGCCTTGGGGCAGAAGGGCTTGGGAATCCCCTGTACCAGCACCCCAGGAATCTCCCCGCCAGTCCAGGCTGCCCCTGGCGTGCCACACTGCGCCCTGCCCAAGGGCACGGAGCGGAGCAGGGCTGGGTGGCCGGTCCCCACCAAGCTGGCGGCGATGCCACACGCGCCGGGGAGTGGTGCCAAGCTCGAGGCAAGTGGCAGGAAGGATTTGGCAAGCAGGGCTCGCTCTGCCGCGCTGTGCTGGGGGCAGCTGACTCAGTCTCCTGCTCCTCAACAACACCCCCCCCCCCACCCCCATCCCGGGCTGACAAACCTGAGCTGGGCTCTCCAGCCCACCCCGCTGTGTGCTGCCGGGACGGGGGCTGTGGCTGGTCACTGGTAACCAGCATCCAGGGGGGCCACGGCCCTCAGCAGTGCTGGGTGATGCCACCCCAGCTGGACCCGAGCCATGGCATGGCCACCCAGCCCAGGGCCAGCAGCCGGGTGCCACGCTGAGACCCCTGGGAGAAGTGTGGGGGGGTCCAGGGCAGGGTCCCCAGCCCCACAGTGGGCCAGGCCTGTAGGAGTGCTGGGGGGGAACTTGGGGAGCCCAGCGCCTGCCTGGAGCGCTCAGGGGACCCGTCTGACGGGTTCGCCGGCTCTTCCCACCCCTGGACAAGCCCGGGCCGGCGGGACGCCGAGCCACCGCCCAGCTGCGCCTGCTGGGGTGGGGGCGGGGGGGGTGTGTGTGTGGAGAGAGGCTGCCCTGCCACCATGGCTGTGGGGACCCCCCAACCAAGTCCACGGCCACGGCACATTCGTCCCCCCAGACCCACGCTGCCTTAGGGGCAGAGATGCTGACCCCTTCCCTGGGGGCACTGGGCCCCCCCAAACCAGTGGGGTGCACGGTCAGGACCCACACAGCCGCTCCCCTGCACTCGCTGGGGCTGCGGGGTGCTGGCTGCAGGGCTGGGTGTGCCCCCCTCCTCCATAGCCCCAGTGACGCCCCCCACTTCGATGTGACCCCATCCTCAGCAGGTCCCTGAGTGCAACTCCTCCCTGCACATCCCGCTGCCTTGCTGGAGGCGCCGGCGGCGGGGGAGCCGAGGGCGTCCCCCCATCCCACGGGAGCCGCCGCACAGACAGGCGTGTGCCAGATCCCCCCGACAGTGGCAGGAGCTGACATGCCCGGCAGAGCCAGACGCGCCGGGGGGGGGGGGGGGGACACGACCATGTGGGGATTCCCATGGGGCTCCCGGGCACATTGGGGTGTTGGCCCACGGCTGCTCGCTCTGTGCAGCCGGCGAGGATGGTGAGGAGGGCTCTCCTGCGCCTCCTCCTCCTCAGGCTGCTCCCAGCCACCGCACCCCCAAAAGCACCCACGCCAAGGGTCCTTACCTGCGGGCGCTGCTCGCTGTCCCTGCCGTCCTCCTGCGGCAGCGCCGGGTCTCTGTCGGATGCTCCGTGCTGCTGCCCGGGAGTCCACGGGGAACAGAGCCAGCGCGAGGCAGGGGAGGGAGCACCCCGCATCCCTTCCTGGGGTGCCCTCGCTGCCGAGCCCACAATTGGAACCGTCGTGGCCAGGCCCGGCGAAGGGGGTGGCACAGTGAAAGTCAGCACTCAGCACTCACTGCCCTTGCTTGACCCCCTGCCCTGGCCGAGCCCCCCGTGCCTGAGGGCCGGTTGGGAGCGCTGCATGCCGCTGTGACAGGGGTTGGTTTTTTTATCCTTTTATTATTTTTTTTTTTTTTTAATAGACTAAGAGCAGAATATGAAAATCACCAGCCAAAGCACTTGAAAAAAAGGTTGAGATTGTTTTTTTGTTTTGTTTTTCCCTAAAAAGTGTCTGTGCGTTTGCATAGGTCGGGTCTTCACGGAAGACGAGGAAAATCCAACACGTTCATCTATGTACAAGCCAGCCTGGGGCTGGCGCCGCTGCCTATGGTACAGTATAGATATATCTATATAGTCGCTCTCTGTACAGTATGTATAGATCTCTATATAGGTATGTACAGGCTGCCCAGCCCTGGGGGTCCCTGCCCTCACTGGGCTCCCCAGCCTGGCGCTGCCCCCCAGACACGGGGCACCGGGTGGGCTGCGGGCAGGACTCCACGGGCAGGACTCGGCGCTGTGGGACGGTGCCAGCGGAAGGTGCGGTACACGCAGCAGCACCGAGCCACGTCCTCGCAGACGTGGCCACAGCCGTTGGCGGGGTCGGGGAGGGGTGGTGGTGGGGGGCGAGTCCCGGGCGAGACTGGTGTGTGCCGCAGCCCCCCCGCCCCGTCGGGCGGCTCTCCGGGCAGGGGGGTGGTGGTGCGGAGGGGCCGGGTGGTCCCGCGGTGGTTCCCCACTGGCTCTCACGAGGGGCAGCAGGTCGGGGGGTCCCCACTCGGCAGAGCCGCGCTGGCGGGGCCCCCGCCGGTGCCAGGAGCTAGGAGGCCAGCAGCGTCATGAGGAAGAGCGCGGCGGCCACGGCCAGGGGCAAGTGTTCCCGCTTGGGGCTGGTGCCGCTGATGCTCTTCTCCAGCTTGGGCATCTCTGGGTTGAAGTTGTCTGTGGGGAAGAGCGAGAGGGTGAGGGTGGCACCGGGGCGGCCCCAAACCCTGACCCCGCGGGAGGCGGCGGGGGGACGCGGCGCTGCGGGGCTGGGGGCTCTGCCCAACTCACCCAGGTCCTCGATCTTCACCTCGGGCCGCAGGGTGAACTGCGGCAGGGTGGGCGCCAGCTTCTCCCCGGAGTGCGACGCTGCAAGAGGGAGAGAGGGGAGGGGGGGGGGGGTGTCACGCTCCCTGGCCGCCTTGCGCCGCAGCCCCCCTCCCCGGGCGGGATGGGGGAACCCACCGGCAGGCCATGCCGCCCCCCGCTCACCTGCAGCCCCCGGGGAGGGGGGGGAATGGGGGTACTTACTGGAGGCGCAGCACACGAACACCTTCATCTTCAGGCAGGCCCGGCGGTGGTTGTGCGTCGGCGTGGCTGCAAGGCAAGAGCAGGCTGGGGTGGCTCCACAGTGGGTGACCCCAACCCCGGGCACCCGGAGGCTCGGTGGGACTGGGCATGGTAGGGTCTGGCCCTGCCTGGGGGTGCTCTCAGGGCTGGGGGAATGCAGCAGCACCCTCACCCTGCGCCCTGAAGCTGCACCTGCGTCAGCACCCTGGCATCCCCATCCTGCACCAGCAGCACCCCCAGCACCCCAATCCCGCATCAGCACCCTGAAGATGCACCTGCATCAGCACCGGGCATCCCTGTCCTGCCCCAGAAACACCCCCAGCACCCCAACCCTGTATCAGCACCCTGCATCCCCGTCCTGCACCAGCAACACCCCCAGCACCCCAATCCTGCATCACTATCTCGCATTCTACATCAGCATCCCCATCCTGCACCAGCACCCTCACCCACATCCCCATCCTGCTCCCCCACACCCCCATCTTTCCCCATGCCACCTCACTCCTGCATCATGACACCCCCACTGCCCCCCAAACCCCCATCCCTGAGCACATGGTGCCCACTCCTTGGGGTGCTGCAGCCACCCAGCTGCAGGGGGGGGTTGGCGTGAGGGGGTCCTGGCCAGGCTGGGGACGCAGAGGGACCCAACCAAGTGGTGCAGTGCAGGGTGACCAGCTGGGGTGGGACACAGAAGACCCAGCGGAGGATGGGGGGGGTGGGGGTGGGCTGCATGGGGGTCCCTTCTCAGCACCCCACGTACAGATATAGTAGTACTCCTGTCCTGCGCGGAACTCGTAGCCCAGCGAGAAGGCGCTGTAACGCTGGAACTTCTCCGAGAACTTGATGGGGCTGTGGGGCGCGTGGGGCCGGTTGCACTCCCAGCGCTTGAAGCCCTGGCTGGTGTTGCAGGTGCGGTAGCCCTCTGCATTCACCATGTAGAGCACGTACTGCTCCAGCCGGTGCTCGGGCACCGAGGCGTTGTAGTGCGGGCAGTAGATGTCCAGGTAGTCGTTGACATTCACCTGCACCGTGTAGCCCTCCCGCCGCAGGCTGCAAGGGAAAGGGGGGACGGGGGTCAGGGGCACCCCCTGAACCTTCCCAAACACCACCTCCCTCCTCGAAAGGGACCCGGAGGCTGGAGAAAGGGCAGCTCCCAGAGCAAGGACCCCTGAGGGTCGCGGTATCCCCCTGCTCAACCTCTATCTGGAGCCCCCCCACGACACACTGAGACCCCTGTGCAACCCCACAGCATGGCCTCGCCGTCTCGGGGGGGTGCAGGAGGGATGCTGCTGGGGATGGATGCTACGGGTGCCAAGCCACATGCACAGGGGAACGCCTGTGAGTATGGCTGCACGAGACGGCACTGCTGGGTCCTGCCGGCAGCCTCAAGGAGGGGACAGACACAGCGGGACAGACAGACTGACCCAGCCAAGGGGCTGACAGGCACCGGGGACCCTGCAGGACGCGGCTCCTGGACCTCACTGCACAGCTCTGGGGGTGCCCAGGGGGGGCACAGGGCCCCAGTGCTCCCCGGCTCCAGCAGCCTAGAGTCGACCTGCCGTGGCTGCCCACCCTGGCCCCAGCCCTGCCACGCGCCACAACTCAGGGAGAGGATTTCTCACCCTGCTCCGGCTAATCCCGTTAGTTTGTTAGTTCGTTAATGCCGTAAAGGGTGGCCCTGGGGGAGCCTCATTTACATTGATTAGGAGCGGCAATCCCCTCAGATCCACTCAGGAGAGGCTCTGCTGGCTCCTAATCCGCGCCCGGTGGAAATCCCGGCCGCGGTAATCCTCGCTGCCGCGCTGACCCACTGCTCCTGCCAATTAATTACAAGCCGGCGCTGCAAGGCGCTGGCTCTGCACCGAGCTGCCGTGGCAGTACCAGACCCTGACCGGACCTCGATCCATCGCCCAGCTCAGCAGCGGTGATGCCTCCCTGCACCGTGCCGGTGTGGTCCCCCCCAACCCCACTATGTTGGGGGTCCCTTGCCCAGCTCCCTGGGGACATGGACCACTGCATCTTGGCACATGTAGCCGGGCTCCCCTGCGGTGCATCGCTCTGGTTCAGAGCCCCTTTCCCTGCCCGTCAGGGCAAAGCCAGGTCTGGGAGCCCCTGACCCAGCTCTTGGGGTGTCCCCTCTCCCCACGGGAGGGTCCTGCCACCCCCCCTCTGGGACCCTGCCTGCAGTGGAGCAGGTTCCTGGGTCTCCCTGGCAGGGCTGGGCAGGCAGGGCTACGCGTGCAGACGCCCCACCCTGCGCAACCACCCCCGGGCGCTGTTTGGGGAGCCCCGGCACCCTGCCAGGGCCCGCGGCACCCTGGCATGCAGCGCCCTAGAAGCCAGGCACCAGAGACAGAACCAAAGGGGGACCCGGTGTCTGCCAGCAAAGGGGGACCCAAGCAGTGCTGCTTTCCTGCCCAGGGCTGCCGCTGGCATCGGGGGCCATGGGAGGGCTGGCAGCAGTCCTTGTCACCCGTGGGGCAGGGAGTGCAGCCCCACGCGGCACCTCCCTTGCCGCGCAGCCGCTATTCCCCGGCCCAGCCCGGCACCCACCGGCCGCTGGGCAACTCCAGCACCAGCAAGGTGCTGAGGCAGCCACCCTTGCTCCGTGGGGCACCGGGACCTTTCATCTTCCCCCTTTGATGTGGTAGGAAGGGGGGGAGGGGGGGAAGAGAAAAAGGCTTGTTATTAAAGAAATGGCCCCGAGGAAAAAAATGCAATTAACTCCGTGCAGGACGCAGGGCTGGGACGCCAGCGTGCCCCGAGCTGGCTGCCCCACAGCAGAGCGGTTGCCGGTGCTCACCGTGGCCGGGCTGTGGCTGTGCCAGAGGAGCAAGAGATCCCCTGGATCAGCCCCAGGTCTCTGCACCCATGGGAGCGACACTGGGATCCATCTCCCGCTGTGCCAGGGGAAACCCCGTCCTGGTGTGTCAGGGAGCTGTAACCCCCCCCTTTCCCCTGTGGCACCCAGTGCTGAGGCAGTCCCCCCTCCCCACCCCCCCACCCCCCCCCCGCGGGACCCCATGCTGGGGCTCATTAAGAAGCGTAGCTCCTGATAAACAGCCTTGCTAACGAGCACTGCCCCATGTGGCACCAAGGTCTCCCCCTGGGCTGGGGCACACCAGCACCACAATGGAGGGGTGCAGATGGGGTGGCGGGGGCTGGCAGTCCCGCTCCCCACGGCAGTGAGCCCCATGGACGTCCCCGCTGTGTGCCGAGAGCTCGCAGGCATTGGAACATCGTCACCAGATGCGAGGGGCTGGAGAATGGCCCCAAACAGGTAGAGCCACGGGGCCACCACGCGGGGACTCCAGCAGCAGCCTCAGACACACCACTGTGTCCCTGCCACGCTTGGCCCCTGCGCCGTGACCGCCAGCCCCACAGGCACAGAGCAGCCCTCCACGCAGCTGGATGTCCCCAAATCCCGGCAGCCTCAAGGTGATCACCAGAGCACCCCGAGCTCTGCCTGCAGCACCGTTTGGCAGCACAGGGCAGGCAGAGCCGCATGCCCGGGCCAGCCCCGGCAGCAGGCAGGGAGCCCACGGGCCTGTCTGCGGGCAGGAGGACAGGCACAGACACCCAGAGTGAGGGTCTCAGCCTCCTTTCTCACCAACACCCACCCCAGAGCAGGCATGGGCTGCCCAGTCCCTGCCAGATGCCACAACTATGGGGAAGCCCCAGCAACAGGCGACCTGGGTGAGGATGGACCCCCCCCAGCCTCCCGGGCTCTGGCAGCTGCAGTGCAGCCGGTGGGGCACGGTAGGCTCCGGCAGTGCCCGAAGGGTTAAACGCGGGAGGAGAATGGGCAGCATCACTTCTGCACGACTGCATTTTTAGAGCAGGGCTTTGCAAAGCAGTGGTACCTTCCAGCAGCCTGTCAGCGCCGGGCAGATGGATGTCCCCTGGCAGAACCGTCCCGAGCGCAGGCTGGGCTCGGCGCCCACCGGCCCCGCACCGGCGGGACCCCGGCTACCTGGCAAGCCGCAGCCACGGGTGAGCTGGGCAGCCGCTCTGCTCCCATCTGCTGCGATAAATCTGGGCTGAGCGCTGCACGCTCGCTCATGCACTGCTAGGGAGCGCCTGGTGCACTGCAGCACGCCCCGGCGGCAGCGGCACAAGGGGGACCAGACCCCCTGTCCAGACCCCTGTGCTGCGGGGGCTCATCATCACGGTGCAGGAAAGGTCTGGAGGGCGGCAGGGCCGGAGCTGGGCTCAGCATCCCACACTGGAGGTGCCAAGCGGTGAGGACCGGGGCAACACAGGGCATCCTCTCATGCAGGTGATGGCATGGTGGGTGCCGGCACTGGGTGCCAGGGTGGACAGCCCCCCTCTCCCCGCCACGCAGCCAGGCCTTTTGTTTGGCTCTGGCAGCTTCGCCCTTTCGGCACATCCGGGGCCCATCGATCAGCCAGGGAACAAAAAAGTGCCATTGATTTACGCGGTCCCCTTCCAGTCACCCTGCGCGACAGCGAGAGGTGAAGGCGCATTGATTGCCGCCGTCCATCCACACCGATGGGCGGAGGGACAGACCAACCGACCACCCGCCTGCACCCCCCACTCAACCGCCGGAGAAACGGGAGACTCAGCCTGGCCCCCCCCCCCTCCCCTCTCTCCGTGCCAGCCCCCCCCCACGCAGGCAGCACTGCACAGTCACGGCGCCCAGACGGCCGCGCACACGCGCGCTGGCTCGGCAGACAGCGCCTGCGACGCAGCCCACGCACACGGGTGGCACAGCACGGCCCCCCCGTCCCGTGTCCCCGTTCCCCCCCCCCCCCCCACTCGCCTGGCACAGCCACAAGGTGCGGGCGCAAACGGCGTTGCCGGCACACGGTGTCCCCGGGGCTGCCTCCCCGCTCGGGGAACCAGGGGTCCTGGGGAGACAGTGGGTGAAGGGACTGTGGTACCTCAGGGCAGCGCCCACCTGGGGGTGATGGGCACAGCCCCCCGCTCAAGCACCCTGGGACCCCCAGCACCACCCTACAGGTGTCCCCGCAACCCCCCCTGTCCCTATTGACGGCCACACGATCCCTTTAATCCCTGCTAAAGCCTGTACCTTCCCGCTTTGCTAACAAGATCAATGAGGTTTCTAATTGGGTTTTAATTAAACCATCAATCTGTAACCAGCAACTCAATTACCAGCATGGGCCGGAGCGGGTGGCCCCGACCTGGTTGCACCCCGAGACAGCCCCCGCACCCCAATGCTGTGGCCCCTCATACCCCGGGAACACCGCTGCCAAGGCTCAGTGCCACCCAGCGCAGTGACACATGGGGCACGGCCCCCTCTGCCCCCGGGCAGCAGCTCCCACCAGTGCAGCAACGAGCACCCACGGGTGGCCAGGGGCTCTGTGCCCCACAGGGATCAGCCTGAGGGGGGCACAGCCATGGGGCAGGGAGTGGCAAAGCCCCCCCCAGCCCACCTGGGGACGACACAGCCCATGGGGCTGGGTAATTAGCCGCTGAGAGGTGTAATCCCCACCTCCAGCCCCGCAGTTGGACACACCACCACAGTGGGGACCCAGGAGTTGGGGCACTGCCAGCCTCCCTCCCCCCCCCCCCCCAGCGGGTGCAGAGCGGGGACACAGCTCCTCTCCCGTGCGAGATGCTCCCCTGGGAGAGGCTTTTCCGCACAAGGGCTCTCGAGAGCCTGCTCCAGCTCTCACCACCTGAAACACAAAGTCAGCCAGATAAAAGCTGCCTTGAAGCAGCAAGTTGAGGGGGGGAGGGCTGCACACCATGCCGGGCCCTCCCCACACACAGGTGGGCTCTGACCTGCCTGACTCAGCCGGGCACCAGCACCCCACGTACACCCACCTCCCACTCTGCCCCCGCCACGGTGCTGGGTCCCCCGAGGCCTCAGGCACTGCCACCCTCGGTCCCTGCACTGGAGCCAGGGGTGCAGCATGGCTCACCCCCACCCGCTCGGGGCGGGGGGGACTCTCGGGGGCTGCAGCCACACTGGAGGGAGCTGGCCATGCCTGCGCCCACACACAGGGACAAACCGCTGTCCCCACCTCAGCATCCAGGACACCCAGCGGGGAGATGGCATCCCACACTGGCATGCTGGGGCCCAGTTTGGCTGGGGACACCCCTGGGAACCCGCAGCCACAAAACATGGGACACCCCAGGGATGCAGCCACACCCCCCCCCCCCCAAATGCCAGCACTGGGTGGGACTCAGCCACCCTGCACCTTCGCCCCGTGCCTGTTCCCGACAGGACCTGAGAGCAGAGGGCAGGGACCAGCCAAGGATAGTCCTGTGTCTCCGGGGCTCGCCAGATGCCACCAGCAGTGACAATGGGACAGACAGACAGCACAGCTGGACCAACAACCTGGCCGAGCAGGAGCAGGCACCTGCTCTGACCCAAACCTCAGATCCCGCCTTCGCGCCTCCCCTGGGCTTTGCCATCAGCACCCCAAACTGCTGCGGGAGGAGTGCCCTGCCCACTCGGGGACCTTCCTGGCCTCCAGGCACTCCCAGCCATCTGCCGTGGTGGCCTGGAGGAGCACAGGCCACGTACCCGAGGGGACAAGCCAGGGCCAGCCCGCCACTCCCCAAGGCATCACCAGGACCCTGGGTGCTGCAGGTGGGCTCCGTGGGGCAGTCCCTCACCCCGTCCTCTCACGGAAAGGAGCTGCAGGGGTGCTCGGGGCGGCGCAGCGGGAGATGCAATAAATTCCTGGGGTGCCTGGCGCAGCCCCCGAGGAGCAGCCTGCAGCTAAGCCTGCTGGCATCCCCCTCCTCCCTGGAGAGCCCCGCGGGGCCGCGCAGGGCTTGTTTATTGCTCTGATTGCAGCGGGGTTGCTGGGATTTGCAGGCTGCGGCCCAGGGAGCCTAATTCCCCCCATAATTTATCTAATCCAGACACTTTGCCGCGTGGCTATAATTGCGGCCGAGCTGCCGCACTGCCTAACAATAAATATCAGCGCTCCGGAGTCCCTGGGACACGTCTCTGCCGCAGCCGCCCCCACCGTGCCGCCCGTGCCCTGAGCCGGACGCTCGCAGCCGCGCCAGAGACGCGTGCGCAGCGGGCGCGAGTGTCTGGCTGCGACACCCCCAGCTTGGCACGGCAGGCGCACCGCCAGCACCCCCCTCCACCCTGTCCCCCGGGAGGTGCCGGGTCACAGCACAAGGCTGCGGGCGATGGGGTGGGGAGAGGCAGCCCCTGGGTCATGGTGGGGTGAGGATGGGGGAGCGGGTATCTCCCACCCACCGAGGTCCCTGCAATGTCACGGCGTGGGGATGAGGCCAGCAGGCGAGGGGGTCCAGCCGGAGGAGTGGGGCGCGGGGGGGGGGGGGGAATGCCCGAGCGTGGCGGGGCGAGCCGAGCGCCTCGCCATTGTGCTGCGCCTCGGCACGTCGCACACACGCACAATTTATGGGGCCCGAGCTTCCGCCTGGCGACACAATCTCAATGGGAGGGGGAAAGAGCTGCTGGGGGACGCTCACTCCCCACACAAAGGGGTGCAGGGCGGGGGGAGCCCGGGGGGAGCCCCAGTACCATGGGATGCTCTGGCTGGACGCACGTCCTCGCCACACCCCTGAGCGCTCTCAGAGGGAAGGGGAGATGGGCGATGGCAGCAGGTGCAGCTCCCTGATTCCTGGGGAGGGGTCCACGGACCTGCGGCGGGCTCGCAGCCCCCCTTTCCCAGCCAGCCCAGCCATGCCCATCGCCACCCCAAAGCCTGCGTGGTGCCCACTCCCCTCCGGTGCGGCTGTGCCAGCCCCAGGTGTGGGTGCCATGCACGCCACGCAGCCGGGCAGCCCCCCGAGTGGGTGAGGGCAGGTCGCAGCCCCCGCCACAGGGGATGAAGGAGGTGCCGGGGTGTGTGTGTGTGTGTCTGTGTGCCGTGGCCATCAACCGCCCGGGCTCCCGGCGGCCGTGGGCGCGACGGCATGTTCCACACCTCTGCCCGCACCCCGCCATCGCCCCCACAACCCCCCCGGAGCCCCCCGCCCCACCGCCTTCGGCTGCTGCCCCAGGGATGGCATCGCTGCCCGCCTAAGGCTGGGGGGGGGGGTGGCGGCGGGCACCCATCAGGCCCCCCCCCACCCCCGCCGCGCCGCCGGTGCCGCTCCCGCGCCCAGACAGGCGGGGGGCGCGTCTGGCGGCGGGGGCGTCGCAGCGGGACCCCCCCTTGCCCGGCGACGTACCGGGGCGGTGCGGGGGGTGGGGTGGGGGGGCGGCCGTGCTCTTCCCGCGGCACCCCGGTACACACCGCGGGGCGGGTCAGCGCCAGCGGGGACGGAGGGGGGACACACAAACAGACGACTCAGCCCCCGGTGCCACCGACCCGCCCGCGCCCGCCCCGGGAGCCGCCGAGCCCCGCTCCAGCGGTGAGCCCGACCCCGCCGGTGCCCGCGCCCCCGGGGATACCGAGCCACCGCCGGTCGGGTCGGGCCGGCCGGGCGGCTGCCGCCCCCCCACCCCCACCCCCGGAGCGGCCCCCGCCTCCGCGGGCAGGGCGAGGTGCGCGGGGCCGGGAGGGGCAGCGCACCGGCCCCGAGGGGGGGATCCGGCAGCCCCGCCCGCACACCAGCGCCGCACGGACACCGTCCACCGGGGGGGGTGGGGGGGGGTCCCGCACTCCCGGCGCGCGCGCCCCCGGCCCGGTGTCATCCCCCCGCCCTCCGCCGCCGCCCCCCCCCCCCCCCCCCCCCCCCCCCCCGCTCCATCTCCCCGCTGCTGCGCGCATCCTTCAGCGCGATCCCCGGCGCGCCCCCGCCGCGTCCTTCCTGACGGCGACCCCTCGCCCCCCCAAACCGCCCCGCCTGGCCCCGGGGGACACCCCCCACCCCCCTCCCCACCTCCTCCCGGTGCCGGTACCGGCGGCCTCCCCCACGCGGCCCGCCCCACACTCACTGCAGGTTGGAGCTGTTCCAGTGCACGGCGTGCCGGTTGCCCAAGGCCCCCGGTAGCCCCCGGCCCAGCAGCAACAGCAGCGGGAGCAGGGGCAAGAACACGGGCAACCGAGCAGCCATCCTGCCGCCGCCGCGGAGCCCGCCGCGATCCCAATGAATGGAGAACCGAGCCGGAGCCGCCCGCGCCCCGCGCCCCCGGCGCCCAGCTCCGCCCCGCGCGCTCCCGCCGCCGCCGCCGCGCCCCCGCGCGCGCTCCCGCCGCCGCCCTGGGCCCGCCTGCACCGGCACCGGCAGCGGCACCGGGAGGCGGCGGCCGGGGCTACGCGGGGCTTGGGCTGCAGGTCCCCCTGGGTGGGGTCACTGGGGCCGGGTCCCACCGGGATCAGGTGCCGCTGGGGTCTCACTGGGACCCCCACGGGTGGGGGCACCGGTGTCAGGTCCCATTGACATTGGGGTCTCACCGGGCACCCTGTGGGTGGGGGCACCGGGGCCAGGTCCCACCAACATCGGGGTCCCGCTGGATGGGAGCGCTGGGGCTCGGAGCACTGACCCCCGGTGTCCGTGTGTCTGGGAGAGCCGTGGGTGCTGGCTCAGGGTCCCAGAGGGTCCTCACGGTGCTGCTGCCGGCACCATGGGGGTCACATGTGTTCACAGAGGGGTTTGGCCACCCTGGGGACACAGGAGTAGGCGGGAGGGTGGGCACCCAGCCACTTGTCACCATCACAGGTGGGTTGCAGCCAGTGCGCCGGGGCAGCCGAGGTGCCCGAGGAGCACAGCCACAGTTCCAGGCTCTCCCGTCTGCCCCATCCTGCCCCAAGAGCCTGCGCATGGCCGAGCACCCACCTGTGGGGCCAGTCCCTTTGCTTTTCCCCCACTCCTGCCCCATTCCCCTCCCTCCAAGGGTCTGTGGGGCAGAGGTACCCAGGGAGCTGGCGGCAGCCGCGGGGATGGTGGGTGCTCCCCTGGTGCCAGACCCCACCGACCACGCGGGGAGGGATCGAGCTGGGTGCCAGCTCCAGCCGCCCATCCTCGGCAAAATCCCTTAGCAACTGCGGCGTGGCACCGCCCGGCAGTCCCGTGTGCTGGGTAACCCACACCCCGGCACATGTGTGCGCACGCTTGCACCCGCACAGGCACGCACCCTGAGCTCCCACGCGGGAGCGCGCCCGAGCGCGTGGACGTTGCCGGCACCGACTCAACAGCCCCCACTCCGGCAGCGCCGGCTTCGCACATGACCCGGAGATTTGGCAGCCTGAGGAGCTTGCCAATGAAACCGGGAGGTTATCGAAACCGCGGCTGGGCTTGCTGAGCCAGCCCTGGCTGTTCCTGCCGGGAGCTGTCTTGCTGGAGTGGCGAGCATAGCCGGGACGGTGCAGGGCCAAATTCTGTGGCCCCACGTCCCCACCACCCGGGGCCCGGTGGCTCCCAGGCCTGGGCAGGTGACACGGTGTGGATCTACTGCTTGATGCCGAGGTTGCGGGGGTTTCCTGGCTCCCCAAAGCTGCCAGGGGAACCCAGGGTGGGAGCGGAGCCGCTCCCTGCTCACAGCCCCTTTTTGGGCTCCCCAACACCCCTTCGGATGTGCGGATACTGCTGCAGCCCGTGGAGGGGGACCAGGATGGTGCTGGCCAGGGTTTCACTGAGGCACCCCAAGTCCCACTCAGAGCTGTGGGGTGCCCAGCGCTGGTGACGCTGGTGGCAGGGCTGTGGCACAGCCCCCCAGCCCCCATCCATGCTGGTGGCACTGGGGGCCCAAGCCCCTGCCAGAGCCCTGCCAGAAAGGGGGAGGGGGGCTGGTAGAAGGGCCCGGAGGACCAAAAAAGCCTCTATTAATTATTCATCTGGAGAAGTGAAGTGAAGAAAACACAACACGTGGAAAAGGGCTCTGGCTGCCCCAGGGGGGTGGAGGCGGCGGGGGGGGGGGGGGCACTGGGAGGGCAGGAGGGGCCAGGGCATCCAGGTGTCAGGGCACAGCAGTGGTAGCGGCAGCGGCTCTCTCCCGGTGCGCCCTGGGGCTGGGGCATCCCGGGGGGGCTGCGCACCTCTGGAAGGGCCCAGCAGCACCGCGTTGCCACCATGGAAACGCCTTGGCTCGGCAAACCCATGGCAACACACACCTCCACATGGAAACCCCCCCCCCCCCCGCTCATGGCAACGCACACGCTGCCGCCAGCACCCACACACCGCCGTGCTCACTGGGGGGGGGGGGACGGGACCCCTGCGCCGGGGCACCCCGATGTGCCGGGCCACAGTGGGATGCACTGCGTACTCCCGTGGGGATGGAGGGATCCAGGCAGCTGAATACACCCTGTGCATCATGGCGTGCACCCACGTGTGGGTGCCAGCACCCACCCGGCAACAACCCCGGGGTCTGGGGACAGAGCCTGGCTGCAGCAGCCGGCACACGGAGGGGGCTTGGCTGGGTTTTGCCGACCACAGCAGGAGACAGCATCTGTGGTGGGGACAGCCAGGGGACATTGCCAGCTGGGTGGCTTCGCTCTCAAGAGGACACAAGAGGCCTCGAGCTCTCCAGGAGAGCTGAGACATGAAGTAGCCCTGGTTCCGCCTTGTTTCCGTGTCCCCCTGTCTCCTCCACCCCATGTCCATCACGCTGAGGGCCAGCAGATTTCTGTTTTAAAGCAGGGGGGACCAGAGCAAAGCCCCCCACCCACAGACCGGAGCGGGGAGCTGCGGACACTGGCCGTAGTGGCCACCATGCTCAGACAGAGAGGGGTGGGCACAAGGGTCCTGCCAGTTTCGCATGCCCAGCAAGGGCAGGGGACCCACTTCACCCGCCGTGGTTAATATTTAACCGCGGCTTCCTGTGACAGCATGTCGCAACCACAGAGCAGAGCCTGCATTCAATAAATCATCGCGCCGGGCTGGGAGCTGGGGAGCTGGTGGGGGGAGCGAGGGGCAGCGGCAGAGCAGTGCCCAGCCGAGCGAGAGGGGGAGCCGATAAATAATTCATTAAATAAATAAACATGGCGAGAGCGCGGGGAGGAGGCAGGCGTGTAACCAAGACAGGGCTCGGTGAACACAGGCATGAAATATTCACCAGCCACACCTACACGTCCCCGAACACGCTGAGCTCAGGGCTCCCGACCTGCTGGCAGGAGCCAGGAGCCGGCATGTATCCAGCCAGACACGGCAAGAACATGCGAATGGCATGCAGACCGGGCAGCCAGGGCCGCAGGGCCACAGCACCCGGGTCAGGGAGCAGGTAGCCGGGGGTGCTGGCACATCTGTGGGGAGCCGAGCAGCCCCTGGCTCTTGTCAGCTCCTCCTGGCAGTGTTTAGCCATACAAATCGGGCAGCCTCACGCAGCCCGGCGCTTGAGCACACTGCTGTCCTGCCAGGGAGCGCGCCCGGCCACCGTGCCCGAGGCAGACTTGCCACGGGTTGCACGCCCACGGGCTTCCAGCCACCTTGCTCCTTGCTGCCCCTTTCCTTTTTTATCCCCGTTGTCAGTCTTTAAATTTGAATGAAGGCCTCACGGATGGTCGCGCCGCGTCAGCGTCTCGGCGAGTGCTGGGTGAACGCTGCCCCGGTGAGGGCATGGGGTGCTGAGCCCCGTCATGCCCAGGGAGAGGGGGGACCCCCAGCACTGGAAGCATCCCGCGGGACCTCCTGGGGCTGCTCTGGGGCTGGGCTTGGAGCCATGGCAGCATCATCCAGGGCAGGGATGTAGCACAGGGGAGGTGAAGATGGGTGGCAGTGCCACTGGCCACCAGACCACCCCCCTGGTGAGCCACAGGTCCAGCCAGAGTGGCCACATGATGGGGGGGGGGGGGGAGGGCTGGAGGTGAGCCCCGCTATGCAGATGGACACGGGGGCGATTTGTTAATTAGCACCTCAGCAACTTGAGTTAATTGATGCAGAGCTTGACGGCGCGGGATCGCAGAGGAGGGTTAATTGCCAACGCAAGGCTGGCCGCTGGCAGCTCGGCCCCGGTGTGGCGGTGGCAGCACAGAGCAGGGCTGTCGGAGGAAATCAGCTTCCTTGCGGAGCCGCCGGATGAAGCCTTGCGTGGCTCCCGGCCCCGCTGCCTGCCAGCCCTGGGCTGGCTCACGGTGCCCGGTGGGGAGGAAGCCGTGAAGTCCCTGCCCTGGGCGCCTGGAGCCTGTTTTCCGGAAGCCTGGCTCCGGCGGGCTCTGCCGTGCCAAACCCCACCAACCCTGGGCGTGTGGGGACCCAGAGGTGCCAGGCAGGAGGTGCAGGGCAGCCAGCTCCTCGCGGTTCCCACGGCTCAGCCGGCGCGGTCCCCCCACGCCACCCTGGCACACGGCTGTGCCGCTAGCAGGGGATCCCAGGTAGAATCCCCACGCTGCGAGGCACCGACCAGCACCCACCCGCACGCCGCTCTCACCTTAGACCAGCTTGAGGCACTGCGGGTGCTGGACTGGGGTGCCGGGCGGTGCCGGGTTCCCGGCTGCCCCCTTTGCTGCATCCCATGGCCCGGCAGCCCCCGCGCCAGCGGTGGGGGCTACCTGGCAAGAAGCACCTGAGTCAGCAGCCGGCACCGGGTGACTCAGCCAGCTCCTCTCCTCCTGCGTGGCAAACCTCCCTCCCGGCCTCAAGATCACTCCAATATCATCTGCCGGCAGCACCCCCGGCCTCGCTGGACCAGGCCCAGCCCTTCCTGCTCCGGCGTGGCCATGGCAAGGATGCACCGGTGGGTGTGAAGGCTGTGCCGGGAGCAAGCTGTCCGGCGTGGGCAGGGTGAGCACAGTGGGGGCTGACACCCGGCCCCACTGCAGCACGGCAGCTACAACTCCCTGGGGAAGGGACAAGGACACGGAGCTGGGTCTGCAGCCGCCGGCCCCAGCACTTGGCTCCCCACTAGTCTCGTCCCTGCCCACCCCGGAGCTCCGTGCTCCGCTTGCCCTGGCTGTGCTGCCCCAATATCCCCTGCAAGGCAGCTGGGGGCTGCATCATCTGGGGTGGGGGTTAGAACCTGCTTCCCCCCAGCACCTGTCAGACCCGGGCAGGCAGCAGTGGGTGGTGGGCAAAGCAGCAACGGAGAGCTGAGCATGGAGCTGATGGCACGTGCCGCTGGGCCACGAAAAGATGTAAATGCCCCACTCTGAGCCCCACTGTTCCAGCAGCTGCGGGAGCACCCGAGCGCATGGTGGGCACGAGGCCACCGCACATATCAGCCCCCCCCGAGGGACCCGCACCCCCGAGCCCTG